ATATCACACAGCCCTCATACAATCACTTCACCTAAATGACAGGGTATATATGTTGCTTTCCTCTCTTTGATCTCGCTTTGACTCATACGCTTTTGATCATATGTTAATCATTTTATTATTTTTTTGCAGAGCTTAACCCACACATGCAAACTTATAAAGAAATCTTATCATTTTGAAATTGGACTCCTGCCTCATCTATGGGTCTCTCAAACACACTTCAGATTACCCACTAGCCATTAGATTGACAATCTTACAGTAACATAAGGTAAGGTACACGTCTAAATCCAATTTCTCCGTCTGTCTGTTTGTCTTCCTCTGTGGGTCTTGGTGTATCTCTCTTTCTCTGGAAACAATCAGATCTCTTCCAAGAACCAATTCTCTGCCATTAGTGTATTTTGGCCAGCCTTCTGGTACAAGAACCCGGTGAAACCAAAACAAACTGTTCAAGCAGCCATTGCTTTTTATGGCTCTGAATTATAGTACTTTGACTGAGCTAAATATGTGTGGTAATTTATCAACTTTCAAATGCCTTACTCTTTCCATAAAAAGATGCTATCGGAGGGAAAAGATTTACAGAAGCCTAAGCCACACACTGGGTCCAGTGGTTGGAAAAACTGAGTCACAAGGGTTTTTATAACAAGGGAGGATAAATGACAGAGGACATACAAGAGGTGACTGGTGAAGGGTTAACATCCTTTGCCCACTACTTCCTCTTGAACCCAAACATCACATGGACTGAGGAGTGATGGATTGAGATTACACAACTTGCTGCTATGGTCTCTGTTTAGAAATCATCTTGGTCACTTGTCTTTATCATGCTGTTTGTCCTCTTCGGAGCTAACACAGAGTAACACATACGATGGATGAGAGCCAGCTGGGAGAGAGGCTGATTCTGAGGCAAAGTCTGGCTGTAGCTCTCGCTGTATATAGTCTGCCTGGGTTCAATGTGTGAGTTATTCTTTCCTTTTAAAAGGAAAACGTCAACTGTTTTGCGAAATGAAGCCTTTGCACAACTTAGGCACACACATGCATGGAGAGAGTGGCAGCAGTTTTTTTCAAACTTCTCAAGACATACTGTAAAATACTGTGAATCAATCACTGTACAAATCCAGATGCACATTGAAAATAGATATTCTGTTCTTAAAATAAAAGATTTTAAGGATTTCGCACCCTTGGAATAAATACGCACTCTCTACTTTCTTAGTTTATTACTTATAGTACTTTGTATTTTTTATATGTACCAAAATAAAAATGTCTCAATAAATAAAAAGTTTTCACTGTCACGTTTTAGAGACATGTACTCAAATAGTACAGCTGCAGTGGGGAAACCCTGTTTACAGGCTCACATCACAGGCTCACATTTCACCTCTTCCTCCACCTCTTTATTTTTAAGCCCCCGGTACCCACCCTGTCTGTAGTTGGTCTTCTGGGACCAAGGGAGCTCTGCTAACAGCTTACTGAACATCCAGTCAGCCTCTTCAGGCGGAAGAAACCCAGGCAGCAGCTGCAGTCTGGACAGATGGACAAAGACAAAACTCAGAAACTATAAGTATCCAGAAAAGTAAGGTGGATGAATACAGTATGTAGCTCATATATTTAGTATTTCTACAGAATAGTCAAACATGGGATGGGTTTAACACATTTAACTAACGTTTTCAAACAAAGTACCGATAGTGGATTCAACAGTTCAACATCCCTTTTCAATATCAAAGCTTAAGTGCTGTTTGTTTACCCACCACATCGTTTGATTAAACTGATCAAAACGGTGGGTTTATACTTGATAAGAACTACTGTGAAAGAAGTGTTGTCTTACCGGAAGCTATTTAACCACAAATGATTGAAGGTTAATAATCTGATGAACCTCAAAATCTTATCCAGCTAAGACTCAGATGCAAAGTAGTCTAAAAGCTCATTTTCAATACAGTTAAGACTAAAGACTAGGGGTTTGTCCCTTACTCAAAGGCACAAAGGTACATAGGCTGTATATGTATGTACAGCATATGTGACTGCATATTAAGTGTCTCTTAAAAACATTGCTCACTCCCATGTGTAAGAGGCATGACGTTCACTGAGAGCAACACTATTGTTTGTGGGATGACTGCCATCTAGTGGGCTTCAAACTCAATCACAGATTTTTCATTTTTTTAACTAAGCACACTGGTTTGGTACCATATTTATTCTCCTCTTTTCCATTTGGTGTAACCTTTTTCATCCACACTTCCCTCTGAATGAGCATTACCTCTCAGTTACAATCTACTCACCTGGACACTCCTGATGGCCCGTGGCTGATCTCATAATCACCTGCCTGTCTGTCCAGAGCAAGATGATGCATGTTAGCCAAACAATACGTAGTGTACAACCAAGTGATGGGCCAAAACATCAGCAGATTCATTTAAAAATAGATGGTACATGACCCTGAAGTCTATCCAGTGATGAAATGTGTAACTTACTCAATTAACTTCTCTGGTGGAACATCTCTAATTGGCTGCAATGAAGAAGACACAGAACAGAGGAAGAGTAAGCACTTCTTTATAAAAACACTCAAACGGGCTGTAAAATACCAATTAAAAATTCCAACGTGACTTATTTTGTATGTTTATTGTTTACCTTAACAGGCTGGTGAAACTCAAATGTCTTAGGTGTATTCTGGGGCCCAGATCCCCAAGAAGAAGGGACTGGATTGACACTTTTGGGTTGTTGGTGGTTTGTGACGGCAGCTACAAAAGACAATAATAAGAGGCTGTTTTGTAGATATCAGGCAGGTTAATATAAATAAAAACATGTTTTTGTAAGTGTGTGTGTGTGTGTGTGTGTGTGTGTGTGTGTGTTTCAATTAGACACAAACACAATGTCAGCACCTAGGGATATAAATAAGTAAATATATAAATAATGACTTAATTCAATACAATAGTAAACATTGACCCTTAAATTACCTGTTGGTCCTGAGTGTTTGGGCAGTTGTTTGGGCAGTTGTTTAGCCCAGGAGCCCTGGACTCTGGCACGCTGACGCTTATCCGACATCACATCACATCTGTGTGATAGAACAAGGAGGCAGCAAGACTTCACCAACATGAAAACCAATTCTCCACTCATCAACAGAAACATGTGACTCTTTCATCTGCCACTATAAACGATGACAACCGGCAAATTCAAAGGACTAGAGTGTAGGATTTAGTGGCACCTAGGTGTGTAGGAGAAACTACAGCAGCCGCAAAAACCCCAAATGCCCGATCTAGAGACAATGTTTGGTTTGTCTGTTCTGGGCTACCGTAGAAACTAGGGTTACCACGGTATGAACTCTTCACAGTACATGAAATGAAAACACAACGTTAAACGTTTTCACATATTATGTCACACAAAGTCAAATTCAATTTACACAGTTGATAAGTTAATAATTTTAATTTTCCTGGTAATGAAAACACAATGATTCTTATATTATTCACTAATGAATTAATATCTATGAATATTATATTCCACTAGTGCCTATTTTATTATTGTTTATCTTATTTAACATGTGTTGAGGTCGGACATGTCAGTGACTGCAGTGGCATCCAAAATGAGAGAGAACCATACAAATAATTGTCTCTATGTTTTTGTTCTATATGTACTAACGTTATGTTCCTGGAGTATTTGGTGGCAATGCTTTTGTTTAGTAGTCCTTTATGATGGTTAGTCTATAATGTTTTAAAGTCATAATAGATGTGCTTTTGTCTGTCTTTTACATCTTGCACATTATTCATCGCACTGGACATCAATTTGCTTTTACTGACATTTAAAACTTAAAAACAGGATAAAATGTATTATTATTATTAATTATTCTATAATAACGTGCAATAAAAGGGTGTAACTTAGTTGTATCATTACTCATTAAAGTACTGATAATTGACCAGCTTAAGCTGCATTTCACTGCCGTGTTAACAGACACAGAACAAATTCTTAATTGTTGACTTAATGTTATATTTTCTGAAGTTAATGAGTGGTTGACAGAGCAAGCTAGCTCGTCTCTATTAGACAAACATACTTAAAGTTTCCTCTTTAAACAGGTTGAACTGAAAACAAACAGCGGGCTGACTAACGCTGAACCCAATCTGTAAATGACTTACCAAAATGACAGCTACAACACAAAACTACAGCGAGCAGAGAAGAGACAACAACACATAAGCTAGTCACTTGTGCTTTGGCGGACATGGCCCGTGTGTTACATAAAAATAAATCCTACCTGGAGCTGAGATGTGAAACAAGGTTCCGCCCCGTTTCGGGTCTCTCGGCCTCAATTCTTTGGATAATGTGATCGATCCTTAAATATGTGGATTACATTAGTACAGAACTCGAGTTAATATATTTACTGATGTACTGTGCTTAAGTAGAGTTTTGCGTTACTTGAGTATTTCCATTATGTGTCGTGTTCTTCTGCTGCATTACATAAAAAAATGTTCTTTTTCCTCCTCTACATTTGTCATTGTTAGCAATTATTAGTTTATTTGATTAAGATATTTAGTTCAAAACACATGACTGGTTTATAAAATATGATATATTATTGATTAGACTACCAGGAAGTATCTAAAGTATTTAGATAGTATTAGATATATATAGTATTTTTATATATAACAGTAAAGATAATCCCAATAGTATACTACACTACACTACACACAGACTGTAGAGTCTATGTAAATACAGTAAAGTAATAACATAATCTGAAAAGCGGCATACATGAATACGTCTCCTTACGTATACTTTGTACATTTTGCTTATATATATATATATATACACATATATACACACACACATATACATATACATATACACACACGTTTACTTATGAGCATTTCCGAATTCAGGGCTTTTACTTAGTTAAACAGTTCTTCCATCAGTGTTCAGAGGTCATTGTGTGCATTATGCTACTGAGCCGATACAATATTCAGTGTAATCCCAATAATCTCTAAAGCTTCAGTCATTTAATTCAACTATTAGGGTAAAAAGTACACAATTGCACAATAATGTACTGTATGCCAGAGCTTTTATTAACAAACCGTATAAAACACAAGTTTCCAGCAGAATCCATGTATACAGTGCATTTCACATGTAGAAATTCCATTTTTAAATTTAATTTCTCTACAGAGGAAAAGCATCCACAAGGCAGCAGTTGAGGCACAGGTCCGACCAAGTCATACGGGGTATTGACAACTGTGTGAAGAAGAGCAGTTCTCCTCTTGCTAGTATGTGAACGAGTCCAAGTAAATGTGAAACTACAGCTGATGTAAAATAATCTCCATCCCTGTAAAATCCTTTCACAACACACAGGATGAACTAAATGCACAGAGGTTAAGAGGTTTTCCTTCGTCTATGAAAGGTTTACATTTTGATTAAAAAAAAAAAAAGAGGCAGGAAGTGGAGCAACTGTGTAGTTCACATGAACATAGCACCAATTGAATTACATCATCTAATAATACATTTTAAACCAGTCAATACCCTCTCATTGAGTCTGACCCGTTCCAGCATTAATGTCAACAGAAAGGCACTTGTGTTTAACTACAAAAAAACTTTGGTTTAGAACGAGTGATACACTGGTGCATCAGCAACCCACCACAAGGTATTATCTTAAATATACTGTAAACACGCGATATTATAGAAAAAGAGCCAATGCATGATAACAATTCAGCGATGCAAGTAAAATGACATGATAAGAAGCAGAGATGGCCATCTTTAAATGGCTCAGATTTGTAAACGGCTAGCCTAAAGGTCTGAGTTTGGCTCATGTGTTCATAGGAATATAAAATAAATAATTATACATGTATAAAAAAGATGCCCACCACCAGTCTCCACTGCTTACAACAGCAGGGTTGACAAGTCACCCATTTTTTGGCTGCATTATTTCCACCATCAGTGTTACTGACAAAGTACTAATGTCCTTTGCCAAGAGCAGCATTTTGTCATCATTTCAGCTCCTGCCTTCTTTAGCCGTTTCTCTCCATACAATCACATCAGAGCAGAGGTTGCCATTTAGCACTAAGGCATACACATGCATTGATGGGCACATTTACTGAATGCACAAGGTGAAATCTCAGGCAACCCTGGAAGATCAATCACACAAATACAAACACTCTCTCTTTTACACCTTAAACACTGCACTGGGTCAGAACCGAGTGGCTGCATGAAGATTTGTCTGTGCTCTCCTAATCACTCTTCAAATTTGCTCCATTCTTCTGCTCCCGCAGCTTCCTCCGGTGCAGGTATCCGGAACGTTGCAGACGGTTCATTGTAGCTCCCAGGAAGATGACGAGGTTGCTTGGCACCATCTTGGTAGTCACCCAACCCTGCGGGAAAAGAAACACCACAACATAAGAGGTGCATGGGTTTAAAATCAACTTAATCTATAGCTTTAAAGGTTTTGATCTTGATAAAATGGTACAATAAAATAAGTAGATTATATACATTTTTGTAGCACCTAAAACATTGTTTAGGCAAAAAAATTTATTAACAGAGTTTCCACAAATTGTTTGATTAAGACAAAATACAGCCTGGATGTATACTGGATGCGTGTTGTAACTGAATATCTAATTAAAAGTCCTCAAGGGGCATTAAAATTGTCTACTGAGCAAGATAGTTCATTCTTAAGCCATAAACAAGAGCAACATTGAAGTTTACTTCATGTATTCCTGGACGGGTTCAGTATTTTGAAGTTTCTTACCATGACAGCATGGGGGAAATAGCCATTGGTCTGGCTTTGCAGACCCACAGTGGTGAGCTCAGCTGCAACATAGCGCTCTGGGGTGGGCTTGTCCAGGGTGGGCTTCCTGATACGAGTCATTTTAGTGGCCACAAAGAAGGGCAGCACACTCTGGAGGAAGACAAAAGTAAAACAATGTGAGATGAACGCCTTAAAAGCTTCTTGTTTCAAGAAACAGTTCAAACACAGTTTGAATAAAAGATACATTTAACTTAAGAATACATAAAGTCATTGCTATGAACTGGTGTGATGATTGCTGGGGTTATCAGGTGAAAATACACTCAGGGTTTGCTGAGGTGAAATTGTTGTACATACTGCAACCACAAGGTGGCACATGAATTACTTACAGAGGGTGTTAAAAACAGAACAAACAAGCTTTGTGTGGAACAACATATTTTCAAAAATATCCCTGCTGTAAAAATGCATATCTGAGACATTAAGACATCAACTTCTTTGAGGGAATTTATCTTGCATGTTTGTATCCTTTGACACTGGGTCTATAGCAAAGGTTTCAATAAAACTAATGGGTCATGTTCCACTTTAATTTTAAAACCACAACACAAGTTTCCTACAGCACCCACCCCAGTCTTTATTGTCCAAATGGCACTACACACTCTCACACTCTCACACTCTCACACTCTCAGGAATGGATCTTTAAAAATGTATTTGTACTTTGATTGGGCTACCTTGACAGACTTAGAGTAAACAAATGAGAACACTGGGACTACAGTGGTTTGTGCTACCGCCTCTCAAAGTTAGGGAAATGATGCTAAACAGCTTTCTCTTCTGGGCATCTGTCTGGCTAAAAAAAAGAAAAAAAGCTAAAAAACCTTGAGTGTTCTCACAGCTGAGAACACATCCTTGGGCAAAAAAAATCCTATGCAGTGTGGAGGAGAGGGATTAATCCCATCAGACAAGCCCCAAACTCACCTGAATGATGATGCCCTGGCGCCTGTACTCTTCCTGAAGGCCACGAGAGAAGAAATCCACAAAGGCCTGCACACAGAAAAGGATGAAAGATTGTCAATTTTAAACACATCAGTCCTATGTTGCTCTGTTATCACAGCCTCCAAAAAGGTGGGTAGGCCTGATGAAAGAAGCAGATACTGATGAATATTATGAAACAATTCAGTTTCAGAGAGAATTCTTGCTGGTTTGTGACAGATGTCGCACATACCTTTGTGGAAGAATAGACTGTAAGCAGAGGGACAGGGTACATGCCACTGGCAGAGGAGATGTTGAGGATAACGCCTTTGGACCTGAGAAAAAAAACACAACAAGGTAGATTTAGAAAAAGAACATTGCTTTGTTGCCTGTGATGCAAAGAGAACATTTAGGGCTGCGATATTTTTATATTATATATGATATTTTAGAGTTTAATTAAATTATTGAATTGCAGGACTCAAAACTAACATTTTGATGATGCGACATTGGTCAAAAAGACACATCTTGGAAGCTTTATTGTTCAAACCAAGAAAGTCTGCGGAAATCCTCAATTTCTTAAAAATGGTGCTGCTATAACACATGGCTTTCTTCAAGATTTGAAGCACTGATCCCAGAACAGTGCAATAAATGTATCTTTGCAAATGTTTTTTAAGTGCTTATTTCTTCTTCATTCAATGATTTTCCAGACCAGTGGGAACCCTGTGTCTATACACATTCAGCACACTGACAAATACACACAAAGCGATGTTCCACACACACACACACAAAAACAGTGTGGTAGTGGCCGTGTGTGTTGCCATGGCAGCCTGTTGCTGCAGTGATGTAGTGGAGCGACCCTCCAGCCTCACACGGCACCAAATGTGCCTGCGCCGCTATTGGCCAGCAGTAGTCACATGGGAACAGAGCAGCCAATCTGGTGGGAAGAGCACTTTGTGTGAATTCAAAGCTTGTCAGCATTGCGAACAAAGGAGGAGAGCAAAAGAGATGCAGTGATGGAAAGGGTTTGGTGAGGATTTCTTGTCCCCCTTCCCAATAAAACAGTCACCTTTATAAAGTGCAATCTCCCAATAACTGTTCTTGGAAAACCAAAAAAGGTTTGCGTTTAATTTTGAGATTCTTTGTACAGCCCTGTGCCACAATGCTTCTTTCACAACACTGATATTTGACTGCAGTCATGTTGCAAAACATGGAAGCCCATCATTCTACTCACCTCTCAACCATTCTGGGCAGCACCAGACGGGTCATCTGAAAAGGAACAACAACACAAGCTGAGTTAACATCAACTGTCACACAAAAGCAATGACAAAAGCCATAAAAAAAAAGAGAAGCAAGGGGACTTGGGGGGGGGGAGAAAGAGTTTTGTTTTAAAAAAGGACTAAAAGTAAAGAGAGAGAGAGACAGGCAGAGACCGACAGAGAGAGAGTTGCGTGGGTGGCGAGTACAGACAGCGTTGGTGTAGTCCACCGTTGCTTTGGGAACAACTGAGACACTGCAGGTACCATGGTAGAAACAGCAGAAGAAGAGCAGAAAGAAAAAGAAAAGGATAAGAACAAAAGGGGGGAAAGTGAAGAGGAAAGTCATGCCCACAAATCAACTTTAAACTAATATTAGAGGCGAGACAAATGTATAGTTTGCAAATCACTGGGCTGAAGGGATTTGAAATACATCCTCCCTGAAGAGCAAAAGTGTTTCGTTCAAGACAGACACAAACTTACCTGGCACACTGAGGTCATGTTGACGTTGATCAGATTTGTGATGAACTGAAACACAGAAAGCACCAGTCAACTAAACACTCATGTATGATATATTATTATATTAGAAAGCAGATAAAAAGGTAGCAGGTGATTGGTATACTAGATCAGGGTTTCTCAAATGGGGTTCTTGTACCCCTAGGGGTACTTTGGAGTATTGCACGGGGTAATTGAGATTTTTTATAAATAGTAAAGTCAGTCATGCATAATAGCATAATTACACCATAAGTCCAATAAAAAAAACCTGTACATGAAAGTTGAATAAACTTATAAAAAGATGCAGTTCAGTGCAACTACAATGAAGTCTTATTGCATCATGATGTCAAAAACTGGTTTGACATTAATTTAGTGATGATTCTATGAAATGTAGCATTTAAGTGTTTAACAAGGTTGTTGTTAAATGAATCAGACACTGATGGTGCAGACCTGTATTCGCTTATATGGGCTTTTTTTATAAAAAAAAAGGGAATTTATTTGCCGTTTTTAGGCTTATTATTAGGTGTCAGCAGCATTAGAGAAGAGAAAACTCACATTGTCCAGATCAGGAATATTAAGGTAGTACTCAGGATAGGAGTAGGACACACCAACGTTGTTGACTGTTGAAGACAAAAAAGGGAAAAAAGCAATTATTCTACCGTTTTCACAAAATAACCTGGTTCTGGATCAAACTAGCATACATTTCTAACAGAAGGTGGCAGCAAAAGCAAACAAGACAGGCATTTACTTCACACTAGACACAGCCACACCTTACAACCAGTAGAGCACAATTGGTATCATAAAAAAAAAAAAAAAAAAAAAAGGACAAAGAGTTCCTTAAATGTTCAACAAAAAGTACAACGTGATCTCAGGAATCTAAACGTCTAAAATTACTACAACAGCGGAAATTTTAGTACAACTTCAAACATATACGATGAGTTATGAGATCAGCGTTTAAAAAGAACACATGCCTCAAAAGAGTATTCATCCTTTGTGTTCTGGAAATATTTCTTTACTACAATGTCATGATAATTCAACCAGACCTTAAAAAACAGCCCCAGTCAACAATGTTACAACATTACCAACTCTGCCAAAGTGAAACTACAAAGAAGTCCATTCAAGTATCTAAATGAAGTGAGTTTAAAATGGATACAATCACTACTGTTCAGAGAGAATCAGGAGATCACTATATTTACCAGCCATGCCACGTGTCTTCATATCATCGTGTCAAATCATACAACACTGTGGAAATATATAAAAAAGGTCCAGAAGGGAGGTTTGCCAACAGTGAAACAAAGGCCAAACTGTGTGCAAGGTACGCAAGACACCCTTCAACCCCATAAATTATGTCAAATTATTAAAACTAATGACTACACATGTTTAACCTCCTGCTGCAAACACTGTATCTCATGCTGCTTGGATACACGGGCAAGTGAATGTCAAATGTTTGTTAAGTGATGTATACTTTGTCTTGCCCGGTTGCTTTGCCCTTTAGGCTAGATCTTATCGTTTAGGCCTGCAACACAACAGGCTCTTTCACTACGTTAACTACACTGAAGACAACCCAAAACCAACATCTTTTTCCAAACAGGTTGACAGGCAAATGGTTCCTGTACGTCATCACTGGACAGAAGGATGAGTGTACACACTGTCCTGAAAAATCAGCTCTTACCAAGAACACCAATCTCCAGACCAGCCAGCCCCGCCTCGATCTTGGAATAGATGTCGGTCTTGCCAAAGTCAACTGCAATTGTCCTGGTCTCCACTTTAAACTGCTCCTCTGTGAAGGGAGAAAAAAGCGTCCATTAATGATAAAGGTTACAATGATATCTATAGCAATGAACAAAAAAAAGTGTTTAAACTGCAGAAATGAAAGTTACATTGTACAACTGTTGTGGTAGCAAGATCAAAGCCAGCATGAAACCAGTCACTGTCAGACTTGAACTGGAGAGGGCACTGCATACCAACAAACCAGCAGAGCTATTTTTTCCCCTCCTCCCCTCCCTCCCCCCACTCCCTCGTCATGTTTGACGCGCCTGCTGCAATTAGAATTTATTGTCCAAAGACTTGTTTAGCTGATCGGAGGTAGTTATAGGAAGAAAATTCCTGGGTTGTGCCTCGGTAAAGATCAGTATTGTGTCAGTGTGTATTCAGTGGAGACAAGATATTTAAAAAAGGTGGGGGGGGGGTCGACCTGAAAGAAATGTGAGGTGTGGGTGTGTAAAATTTTTAGTCACCACAACGAATGTGAGTAAGAAAATTAAATAAAAAAGGCAGCTTAGGACATGGTGGAAAAGAAGCAGATATATTAAGGCTGAGGTTGCCAAATTGTGGGAATAATTTGTAATACCAGGTAGGTGTGATCAAGAGTCAAATAAGATGCCTGGGTGAGCGAGAGGAGAAACATTAACAATGAAATTATAGATGGGACAGGGTGGGTTGCCCGGTTACATGCTGAGGAGGGTGGTTTTGTCAGACTAATCGTGAGGGAGGAGTGCCAGAGTTTGGCACGCCGCACCCTGCTCGTGACTACCCATCAGCCCCCTCTGTGGACTTGAAGCACGACAGGGGAAATTGCGCTGTGGGAGACGTCAGAGACAGATGGAAAGAGAGCGAGTCAGGGAGAGGGCACTATTTGAACAGGGGGGGCATTCACCATTCAGTCGCTGTTAAAATCTGGAGACAAGCCAACAAGGAGGAGGAAGAAAGTTTTTCCTTTCATACAGATGCTCATTTTCTAGTTGTTTCCATCTGTGTGTACTTGAATGAGATATTTGTTAGAAACGACCAGTCTTTTCTCAGAGGAACAGGTTGGTCCATGAGTTCTTTCATCAGACCAGATATTTAATCCATCTTTCCTTATATTGACAGTGAGGATTGTAAAACACAGCCTGCTTTGTTGGCTGCATGTTTCCAATTCACCAGCACTCAGAATGAAAGGCATGACTTAGCAGGAAGCAAAACAGCGTAAAAATTTGATTTAGAGAAAAAAATAAAATCTGAATAGGGAAACTACTGACAACATGACTGATTCTGTAAAACAAATGCATTGTGTTTTTGAAAAGGGAAGTTAGTAGATTTGCTCCTTTGTTGCAACACCCTGCAAGTAAAACATCTAAAATAAACTTATGCTGACTTGCATTTTGTCCTCAAAAAAAGATTACTTTGTCTCCTTTTCTTCTCTTTTGACTATAGTCCTTATGTTGAGGACATGCCTCGTTATTGAGGCCCGGGAAACCCTGTAGCCGATGGGGTGGGAGGTTGCGAGTCACCGCCTGCCCATACACACATCCTCATCAGCCCACTCACTGTGCGCTCAACCCTAAGCAGGTTTCCATGATGTTGTGGGGGACACACACTCACAATTGTATACACACTTACCAAGTGACCTGGCCACGTCATCCAGCTTGTGCTGTGTGCGACTGATCAACATCATGGCAAATCCTCGACGAGCCAGCTATAAAAAGAAAATTTAAATACCAGTTAGAAACAGATAAACAAATCTGAAAATAATTTGAATATAATGAGGGCAATGAGAGTTTGTATTCCTCAATTTTTGTTAACCATACTTCAACACTGCATCAGATAAGGAGAGCAATGGTAACATATCAACTAAAACATATCCAGTGGCTATAGATTGATCATGATCATCTGCATGTGTAAACACACGTTGTTTTCACTTTGTTAGAAGCATGCTTCCAGAAGAGAGATTCAACAGAGAGCTTTAGAGCTGAAGGGATTTTTGAGAACTTCTTTGGTCCCATTCTGACCAGCTACTTCCCTTACTGTTTCTTCTGGATGCACAAAAAGTTCTAGAGGTGTGGTCATGTGGCTGCATAGTGAGCAAATCATTTAAAATTATGGGTTTGAGAGCACAGCAGTGGATTTATCATGTTCTATGTGAAAGCTGCATTTAATAAGTAATTTTCTGCATAAATAACCCAGCGTGGCATAATACACTTTGTAAAATTGCGGCCTTCCATGGCGTGACAAGCGGCTAGCCCCACTGTAGCACCAGCAGCAACAGTATGAGTCAAAGGCCCTACATGACTAGATTATACAGCTGGCACACCCACACTAGTATGGTCCAAACACGTGGCAGGGTAGCCCCTATTCAACGTGTGCTTGTTACCTCTGTATGAGCTCATGTTGACAAGCCTTTATTGAAGTGTGTGCGCGCATGTGTGTGTGTGAGAACTCTCTTCCACGTTAATAGGCCTGTAAGAGCTCTCCCCTACATTAGCCTATGAGTGAACACGGTATGTGTGTGCGCATGCATGAGTCACAGCTTTTCCGTGAAATGAAATAAAAAAATAAAATAAAAAAAAAGGTCCAGGAGCCTCACCTCCTCCGCATAGGATTTCCCGATTCCATCCGTGGCTCCTGTCACAACTGTAAAGAGACAGAAACAAGACAATGTCGTTAGTATAGTTTGTCTTCACAACATGCTCACACAATGTAACAGGAAAGCGGTCAAACTAAATTTGTCAAAAAAGGAAGGAGATTCCCAAAAGTTGAGGAAAAAAAAAAAAAAAAAAAAAAAGCATAGCTCATATTCCTTGAGATTGAATGATCTGATGAAACCCATGCTATTACTCTGACACTTTGATAAACGTACTCATTGACGCATTACTCTGGCACATCTAGTATACCATCTTCACGGTTTCTGTTACCTTTGCACCTTGCGACAGATGCACATAAAAAGAAAGAAATGCACACACACATTTAGTATCCCCTTTGTTCAGAAGCTCACGACACACCTTCACATCAGGTTTGACGACCTCTAGTTGTCATCATAACAGCTCAGAGCCATAATATGGAGTTTATCCTGGGGCTCTTTACAGGTGACAGATCGGGCAGACATGTGAAGGCTTTCACATCAATTAAATCCGTTGGTGGACACACCCCACAATGCTATTCACCTGCTATTTAGGGAAGCCTCTCTTGAAGCTTTGGATGAGATCCTTACAGGATGTCTCGTTCTCACACAAAAGAACATGTGCAGTTCGGTTCTTGGAGCAGAGATGCATATAATACAACCCAAGATTGTACAGATAGGAGTCAAATCACAAAGAATAAAAACTACAAAGACAAAGGAGGAGATGGAGATTGTCTAGAGAGATAGAATGGTATAGATCAGAGGTCTTAAACTCAAATTGGCTCTTCGTCAACACCACAACATTCAAGTACTTCAAGAAAACGCAATATTCTGAAAATATTTCCATTACTAACATACTTTAAAAATGCAAATAGCAGTTTCCTTTTTAATATGCATTAGTTTTAACGAAAGTGAGCATAAATATCACTTGATAACTTGCTAATCCGTCCTGCCACTGTGTTTGATTGTTTAACAAGCTCTACTTTTCTGGACATGATATCAGTGACTTGCAACATGCAATCATTCAGGAAATGCCTTTCTGTGAATAGCTTCCTGCTTTTAATCTCACCACATAACTCGCTTCAACTGAAGCATCAGCATCCTTCTTGGCTTTATGGGAAAGAGCATGCTAACACGTTAGCGCTCTCTGTAGCGGTACTTTTTCCTCTAATCTCCCTGGTACTTCTCATACTGTTCTGCATGTTTAGTCTAGTGATGACACTTGAGATTGTCTTTTTCCTTCTATCAAGCAAGTAGCATTTCCATTGAACTCAAAAAAAAAAAAAAAAAAAAAAGTGGACGTAATGTCCATTTTTCTTGAAACTGACTGTTTCAAACAATAAAGCCCGAAAGTGCTCTCTTCTGATGAACCTTTTGCACACATTTGCAGGAATCTTTAACCTTTGAAGGTGTAGTTGGAATTAGTATATAACAAAAGAAATTATACATTTTGAAGGTCGTATTATATTATATTTTTATCATCATGTCGTGGGATGGAGGGTTGGAACTGGCCCGTGGCCTGGCAGTTATAGATATAGATTGAAGCACAACAAAGAAAGACAGTATAGGATTCACAATGCCCTCACCCACTGAGAGCAGCTCCTGTGATGTTTAAACAATATGATTTTCAAGATCATTTTAAGGGTTTTATTGAATCACTTATCACTTAAGCAGACACACAAATCTGACTGCAAGGTTAAATCAAGTGCATCTGTAGTAGGAGAATGGTGGAAAACCAGAAAGGACCGGAGTAGTTTGGTAAGAGCAGAGGAAAGATTTCATCCAAGCACAACAAAAGATGGTAAAGTGGCCGCAGTGTGGGGAGACAAAGACGGAGAAAGGAGCTGATGTTCTTCTTGTGCTCAGAGTTCTCCTCAACTTGTCAAGCAAGCAGGGCTATTTTTAAACCTTCACTGCCCATCAACCCAAGCTCCTTCTTGACTGACGGAGTATAAGGGGAGAAAGGATAGATGGAAGGAGGGAGGGAGGGAAGGAAAGAAGAACAAGGGAGGTAGAAAAACAGACACAAGACAACTAGAAAGTGAAAATGGGTGCTCGTGGTGAGGAGGGATTGGGGTACACACAGTTGTGCATCATGAATATATTATTAGCAAGGCTTGATGAAAGATTAATAGAGGTAGAGGACATTCTCTGGCAAAGAGCTGGAGAGCAGGAAAAAGACGAGATGAGAGAGGGGATGGAGAGGGGAGGGAGTGATGACGAACATGGAGCAGGAGAAAGGAGGGAGGGTGAAGCGGGGTAGGGAGGGCGGTAGGACGGGGGGGGGAGGAGGGATCCTAGGGGCAGATAAAAATAGAACTGGAGCGAAGCAGGAGAACGAATGAGTGAAGGAGAAAGAGATAGAATAGAGATGGCAATGGAGGAGAGGAGGAGGGGGGAAGAGAAGAACAAGGGAGTGAATGAGAGAAGAGCAGTAAGAGCGAGAAGAGCACAAAGTCAAAAGTGAAAAGGGAGCAGAATCCCTAGTTATTTTTAAACCTCCCCCGTGTTAAGAATGAAACACTCCGTGGCAGAAAAGCCTCAATGGGCGCAGGCGGTACCAAATCAGACTCTTGTTGCAGATGCAGGTGGGGGCAAACAGAGGCAGGGAGACGCTACAGTCACTGCAAAGTAAAATGGCTGTGTGTGTAGCTTTTTCTAATATAATATAGTGGAGTGAATATGGCTTATTTGTTTACGAACTACAGGGATTGTATTTTACACAAAAAACCCTAACACATATGCCAGAATACGACTGGATTATTACATATAATGGCTTTATATTTATGCATTTCCAGGGACTGTAAAACATTTTTTACATTTCTGTTCCGTGTAACAATCATCCAGGTTTTGAGTTTCCTGATTAGCATTAAGGAAATACCTTCTGTGACTCTCTTTCGAACTAGGAGTACAAAACTATCGAGGAAGAAATTACAGGCCACGTCAGCTAAAATGAGGAACTCAAAAAAGAAAACATGTAAAGCATGAAATGCAAAAAGGAGTCTCAGTGCACCGACCACATTCCTATCACATGGGACAAAACAATTTACCCCACAGATAGCCCCACCCACCCCTTCCACAGGCACCTGAGGGGCATGTAAATCCTCTGCATGACTAAGTTTCAGGTGCAGAGAATTGCACCTGGTGTGAGAATGTTATATGCTGAAATGCACGTAGAGCATCACCGTTTCAACTTTACCTGACAGAGGATGACGTGCAAGAATGTATTATGCGCTTAGAATGCAGGTGTAGCGTGACATTTTGAACTTGAACAAGACAGTCAAGAACATACGATACTTGTCAGACTGTAGACGTGTTCAGGCTATGCATGCCATGCATTTTAGGAATACAGCATGTCAATTTTAACCCTGTTCTAGCTTTTGAGTCTGAATTCTAACTAAAAAAAATTTTTTTTTTTTTAAATAAAAATAAAAAAAAGAGGGTGAAAGGCCGATATTGGATCATTACCAGACAACTCTTACTATTAGCCAAGTGTGCTGCATTTCAAATGGTAAACCTTCTTTCAAAAAATGCAATTTGAATTAATGGAGATTCTGCTGTCAACCAATCAGGGCTATGGGTCTTTACACTACTTAATAATCCTTTATCATTAAAAGAACATTCTTATACTGGGAGGGCAAAAGAATATTGGAAATCTAAGTAAAGTGTGTAATATAAACATAACAATATGCCCATTTTCTGTATTTGAATTGGTATTTTCCACTGTGCATTTGTCTACCACCTACCCCTTCCCCCAGGCCTAATTCCCCCTCCCCACACCCCCAAAAATCCTCGTGCTGTACTTCTCAATGATTACACTCCTCCCACTCATTATATAATAGTACCATTTTCTCAATAAATGTTGTCTGGGGAGTGAGTGAGAGTGAAGTGTGTGTTTATGTGCATTATGGGTGGTAAGTAAATGGGGGTTAGGACACAGTGTTCCTCTCAAGTCTTAAGACCCTTACCTTTTGCTTTTGAGTTGCTATCAGCCATCATTAGTGCAACGAATACAAGAACAAAGAGAATATTCTGGTAGATGCTAAGCCTAGTAACCTATAATAATAGTTTATGTATTTATGGAAAAGGACAATAATAAATTGTCAGCCATGGCTGAAATACAATAGAATGACGTTTGAGGCCAATAAATTGTTGACCCTTCACTGGACAGTGCAGAAACAAGAAAAAAAAAAAAGGTCATGTATTCAACTCTTTTCACTTATTTACAAGCAGAACACAATGTTCAAAAATACCATTGTTCAGTTAAGTCACAAACACACACCCCAGTGCTCCCAGCAGGACTTAATTCCCCTCACGTGAGCAACACATTATATCTGACACAGATGTAATGTAACAAAAAAGGTCTACGCAAGCAAGCACGTGACTGACAGCAGTGGTACGGCCGCTCAGAGAAGACGCACACGCAGTGACAACAAAAAGTGAATCTGTGTTGATAGGGCAACCATGTGTGATGTGTGCAATGAAAAGAGAAGGCGATCTGGGAGAGGCCAGGGTAGAGGAGTGTGCGAATCCATGAATGTATGCACGTGTGTGTTGGTAGAGAGGATGTGTGCACTGCTGCCTCTCATTCACTCCCAGCAACACCGCTCTGAACCCAGTTTCCCCCATTCCAACGCCTCTGAGAAAACTGGCCTAGCATGCTGGCTCTGAAGCGCCCGGACGGGGGCGCATTTGCACCACAGCTCTGCTGTGCTTAATGCTGCACATCACGTCCAGAGGTATTGACATCCCCCAGCCTTTTCTGTCTCCCTCCCTCCCTCCCTTCCTTCTCAGCAGTGGAGCAGCCCCTGTCGCTGCCTGCTCACTATTCCGAGGGTCTAAAAAAAGCAGCAGGAGGAGTAAAAATAGCAGCGCGCCTGCACTGCCTCGTCTGGGAGCTGCCTGCCTGCCTGCCGCAGCACTTGAATACCAACAAGATCCCCCACCACCATCACCACGACGACCAGGCTGCTGCTGCTGCTGCTGCTGCATCCTCAGCCCTCCACCTAAAACC